ATGTATAGGTATAGGTATGTGTGTGTGCGTGTGCGTGCGTGCGCGTGTGCATAGGTGTATATACATATATATATATATATTTGTATGTATGTATGTATATGTGTGTGTTTGTTGTATATGTATATATCTGTCCGTCTGTCAGTCGTTCTGTCTGTGTATGTACGTGCATACCTACGTACGTATTTATGTATATATATGTATGTATGTATAAGTGTGTGTATGTATGTATATGTATATATGTATGAATAGGTATACACATGTACCCTTCAAGAAAATTTGTCACTATCAAGTAGTATGATTTTTTTTTGGTTTTTTTGCGTGACGTTAGAAAATCTTTGAATCTGTACCCCACTTCAGAGTGACTATATTATGTGTCGGACCATGTGTATCGGAGAACCTCTCGACCAATGGGTTTTACTGACCGGTTTCTTCTTCAATCCTATCTTGAACAGGGCATGTTCTCTGGGGAGTGAATGTCGACGACGAAAATGGTTGACAACTATGTAATAAAGTGATAGGTTCATATAGTATTCTTAAGCTGCACTCAGCATTTAGAGGAGCAATTCTCGTTTCTATTAAGTTCAATTCGTCTTAATTTTTGTGGAGGGTTCATGTAAGTGTTTGTATCAATAAGCAATCCCCGGCAACCCAATAGCCTATCATGCTTGGTAGATCGCTATTCCAGGATTAGTATTAAAAAAGCAGTGCCTGGCTGGCGTATACTTTAAATTAGTAGTTTGATTTTTCTATGGGCATAAACGTGGAATCGATGGTTGGTCTAATTCGTCTGGATAAGTTGCAGAGGGTACATATCAAGTATTAGGTATCAATAATCACTTTTCAGCCTACCAGGTATCTTCACGTTCCTGGCAAATCACTATTCCAAGAATGGCACCAAGGATTAACTGTGCTTGTCTTACATGCACTTTGAATTAGTCTATTGATATCTCTTATATGCGTCTGAGAAAGAGATCAATTCTTTATCTTATTGCCTTGTCAGAGAGATCACATGCTAAGTACAGTATACGGTATCCGTATTCAATTTTCAGCCAGTCTTTAATTATGGCGTGCGTGGCAAATCGCTCTGTATTGTCTATGCTCCACTTGCGTGTACTTTGAATCAGTATGTTTATTTTTCGAGATATTGCGGGGTTTCCGAGGTTTGAAGGTGGTTTTCTATCCAACACGATGATGCCTCGTCCGTGGGGTCGTACAGTGTAGTGATGTCCATCACTTCATTTGAACTGCGCCGCAGATGTGCTATAGCAGTACTAATGGCATGTTGCGAGTCGGTGATCCATACGAAGCATGCTCCCGTGCCACGCAGGTCACCTGCTCTCGCTTGTGTCTATTCGGTTTACTTCTCGATGGGAACTGCTCCTTGAAAATTTACAGCAAGGTGTGCTGTTGGTATATCAATGAGCTTGAGGAGAGCAGTTCAAAAGTAGACGGCCCGTTTGCATATAGCGCAGTGTAAGCAGACTTGCGGTCAATGCTTTCGCGACACAAGCAAGAGGACACCGTGGTGCAAAGCATTAGGTAAATATTGGAGCCAGCGGCTAACTTATTCCCAATCCAAATCGCTGTCGTTGCCTGTCTCCTCCATTTGCTCATCCTGAGCGCCCGAGCCTTCAGCAATTGGAGTCTTGTCTAGTGCACCCACACTTTTCAAGACCCGTTCAATCACGCCTGTGTGTATATTGGCAGTCCCGCCAAATGCATCATAACCTTTGAACTGTAGTACGAATACAATAGAGGGTATATGGGTGAGGTCATATACAAAAAAATGATTAGGCATATTTACTGGCGAGCTACTACGCGCCTACTGCAGCAACGCGAGCCCCTTTACAAGGTTTGATTCTCAACAAATAACGGACTATAGTTTCATAAATTGAATTGAAGATCTGACAAACCTTGTTTTTGGTTGATCCCTCCTCAATAGTAACCATGGTGGGCAAAACGAATATGTCTAACCTATCCACCAAGAATGGAGTTTTGGCTACATCGATTGTTAAAAATTTGGTCTCCATGTGACTCTCCGCTAAGCGCCTCGTGTGCTGTACCATTGAATCGCAAACGGCGGAACCAGTACGATAAAACAAAGCGACCAGTCGGCGGCTTGATTTAGCAGCCTCGAAAAATTCGCGCTCTGGATCGGTACAAGGGACAGTCGGAAATGGCATCAGAATGTATATTGAATTCTTGTGATTAGAAAAGGTCTCCTTGTGCATTTCACATACAATGCATCCCTTAAAATAATTTGACAAGTTATAATTTGACAAGACAGATATTGATGAAAATTAGTCAAGATATTTGTGTCTCCGCGACGATAAACTTACCATCTGTGATCTCCTGGACACTTCCATGACCATTCCGGACCCTGTTAAAAATTTGAAACAAGCGTGCCATGAAGAACGAGTTCGAAATATTATAAATTTTTACTTCAATAATTTACTTTGCGTGGCTAAACATTCACAAAGACAAAAAGACAAAAAAATAGTGCTCGTAGGCGTATATACATCTATGCAAACATGTGATTGATACACACACACGCACACGCACCGTCGCATCAACAAACACATACATAC